TTTGTGTTAGAATCTTTGCAAGGAAGAGCATCACTTGATAATTTTTATAGTGCATTACTCAGAAAATTATAATCAATGTTCGTCGAGTAAAGTCTTTTTCTTTTTCTATATGCTCGAGTTGTATACTTCTGAAAAGAATTTTTCTATATGCTCGAGTTGTATACTTCTGAAAAGAATGTTGTGTGGCATTCTATATACCGCTGGATGTAATTCTATAAAAGTGATAATTATGAACTGAAGTTTCGCATTCGCTCGTCTATTTTCCTTCAACAGAATCTCCTCCTTTCCACAGACGATCGCAATAGTGTCTTGAAGATTGCCGATTTTGGTTTTGCCAGGTACATTATGATCTTGAGTTTGTGGCATAAGTAATGTGTGTGGAATTTAACATTAACATTTTCAGAGATCAAGCTTTAGGGTTTGCATTTCAGTTTTTCACTTATCATCCTTCTGCTAGATCTTTACAACCGAGAGGCCTTGCAGAGACCTTATGTGGTTCGCCTCTTTACATGGCTCCAGAAATAATGCAGCTCCAAAAATATGATGCTAAGGTGAGAATTGAGATTATTAACCCTTACGCAATTGAGCAGTCACCCAAATTCAAGTCGTGTATTAAAATTTTTAGCCTATATAATGCACAGGCAGATCTCTGGAGTGTTGGAGCCATTCTATTCCAACTTGTGACTGGAAAAACTCCATTTACTGGAAATAATCAAATAGAGGTATTTTTATTTGTTCTACTCCTTGCTTCAATAACTTACTCTTTTATATATTTTGTTGATCTTTGTGACGAGTCATGCCTGGGATTGGCGTTTTACAGCTTCTCCAGAACATTATAAAATCGACCGAATTGCAATTCCCACGCAAGGCAGTTGATTTGAACCCTCTATGCAAGGATTTATGTAGGAAATTGTTGCGTCGTGATCCAGGTAAATTTGTCGTAAATTTGTTTTTTAACTCGAAAATGCTACAAAGATCAACATCGTGAATTTATGTGTTTAATGACATTATTTCTATTGCTTGTCAAAAAACCTTCGACTGCACAGTGGAGAGGTTGACATTTGAAGAATTTTTTAACCATCCGTACCTGTCACAAAAAAAACAGCCCGATGAATTCCTCAGGTACATACATCAGATAAACAAACACATGTTAAGACATTTATTTTGGTATAATATTAGTTAGCCCCTTCGAGTACATGGGATTTTTCGAGTTAATCGTTTTTACAGAAATAGGCGGCCACACAGAATTTCAGATGGATTCTCTCGTTCAACGAGGAAAACTGAACAAAATTCACAAGAAGATTGTTTCCCATTCAGTCTGGACGATGATTCGAGTGGCCCAGATAGCAGTCCCTCTTACCAAAAGGGCCCCACCATAAAATCATTCAATGGTATAAACTTTTATTTATATTCTTTAATTTCTCCTTCAGTTATTTTTTATTTATTTATTTATTTATTTTTTTTCTGAGTCGCATATATGTATTGACCTTTTCAGTTACGGACTCACTAGAGTCAATCGACCGAGATTATGTAATTGTGACCAGTCCTCTGATGGACTTTCCATCTAAAACGGGCAGCAAACCTCGTTGGAATGTGGGCCCCACAAGTACTCCAGTGCCGATTTCACAAGAATCAGCAGATGTAATAACAGACGCTTTATTAGATCAACCGTCAACCGATCACATGACACGGATAAGTGCCTTACGGCAATATGCAGACACCATTACTGAACTAGTTAACAATAAGGTAATATTTAAGTCACTGAACACATAATAAAGAGAAATCAAAATTTAATCGTTTGCTTCTGATTTTTTTACATGTTTTCTAGACTGAAGGAGGAAAAGAGCTCGAAGCCTTTTCGATTCAGCTCGTGATTTTGGCTATATGGAAGCAAGCGTTGCATGTCTGTCATACACAAGCAGCTTCAGCTCTGGAAGAGAGTCCCAGCCGAGAGACTACCGATATTCCAAAGAAGTCCTTCGATTTGAGTAGGTCACAAGAGCCACTCGATATCTGTTCACAGATAGAGAACACATTTCTTCGTGAAGTCGAGCGTGCTGAGGAACTTGCTAAACTAGTGCAGCCTGGTATGATATATAATATATATGTGTATATATATATTTTCCTGTTTTTTATACCATATATATTACAGATCGGTTTAGCGTATTTTTCTATACTATGCAATTATTTATTTAGTTATTTATTCTTTTTCCAAGGAGCCGAGATGCCTGATGCAATGGAATTGTTATATCAGTCTGCCCTTGCATTGGGCAGACATGGAGCGGTAAGTATTACATTTTCGCGATTCGATTCTTTTTTTTCTTTTTGGTTCAAAAGATAATTCTGATGGGTTTTTGCAGGTGGATGAATTAATGGATGATATCGAGAGTGCGGTTATCTTCTACTCGAAAGCAGCACATTTGTTAATGTTTCTACTGATCGAAGCACCTTGCCTCATTTTGAATCCTCCGTTATCTTTGACCAATTCTGACCGTTTTCGAATAAAAAATTACATCGATGTCCTCAACAACAGGCAAAGCTTTACCAGGTCACAGAGAATGGCTGTTCTGAATATGGAGAATCAGCCACACCCTTCTTGAAAACCGATGTAAACCGGTTTGAAGCACGACTTTCATTCTGTCATTTTTTTTTTTTTTTAAATTTCTATTTTCAGTTTATTATTTTTCTATAATTTGTACATAGCTGCATATATATAGTTAGTCAAACACAGATCACCAAAAACTCTCCTTCAACCACTCTGTAGAAGCTTTTTTGCAGATTTTTCCTTGGTTGTTCCAACTTCCAACACCAACTTTTTTTCTCTTATAACCATAATAATCTCCATCTTCCAACTCAACAAGAAACTTTTTTTTTCCTCTGCAAAATTGAACCCGAAAATAATGGCGACATGCTTCCAACCGCCAAGCGAAAGCCCGGAAGATGACTCGATTGTTCTCTTCTCAACACCTGACTCCCCAATACAACACCGCGAAAACCAAAAGCCTTATTACAACCTAACTGTAACAAACCTCTCGTACACCATCCGAAAAGCCGAACAACCATTTTCCAACCTCATTTTCCGAGTCGTTAAAAAGAAGGAAAAGCCCATCGAAATTCTAAAATCAGTCTCTTTCACTGCAAGAGCCTCCGAGATTCTCGCGGTTGTGGGCCCGAGTGGCACCGGTAAGTCTTCCCTCTTAAGAATTGTTTCTGGAAGGATCCAAGACAAATACTTCGACCCGAAGTGTATCAAACTCAATGAAAACCCAATAACGAGTCAAGCCGAGATGAGGAAATTATGCGGGTTCGTAGCTCAAGACGATACCCTATTCCCTCGCCTCACGGTCAAAGAGACACTAATGTTCAGTTCCCAGTTCAGATTGAAGGAGATAACTTCTCGAGAAAGAGAAACTCGGGTCGATAGCCTAATGCAAGAGCTCGGCCTCGAGCATGTAGGGGAGAGTTACATCGGAGATGAAGAAAATCGAGGAATTTCGGGCGGAGAGAGAAAACGAGTGTCGATTGGTGTTGATGTGATAAACGACCCTCCGATTCTTCTCCTTGACGAGCCGACATCCGGGCTCGACTCCCGCTCGGCTTTTCGAGTCGTCGAGCTTCTCTCGTCTATGGCACGAGCCAAGCAAAGAACTATCGTTTTCTCTATTCACCAGCCGAGTTACAGAATTCTTCAGCACATATCGAACTTCTTGATCCTCTCTCATGGCTCGGTAGCCCACCACGGTTCGCTCAAGTCACTCGAGCGAGCCATCATTGGACTCGGGATTAAAATCCCGTCTCGATTAAACCCGTTGGAATTCTCGATGGAAATCATATCCACTCTCAACGAGTCGTGTTCGAAAAAAAACCACCTCCCGGAAGTAGATGTCAAAGAAAAAGCGTATCTTTCGTATTCATCAATTCAAGTCGGACCCGACCGATTTCTTCCGAGAGCCTATGAAATATCGGTGCTCTGCGTACGGTTCTGGAAGATCATTTACCGAACAAAGCAACTTCTACTTGCCCGAACAATGCAAGCCCTGGTCGGGGGTTTCGGTTTAGCGAGCGTATATGTGAACATAAGAAAAAACGAAGGTGGGGTCTCGGAAAGGCTCGGCCTTTTCGCCTTCACTCTCAGTTTTCTTCTTTCCTCAACAGTCGAGGCCTTGCCAATTTACCTCCAAGAACGGCACGTCTTGATGAAAGAAGCTTCCAGAAGTTCTTACAGAGTTTCCTCGTACGTGATCGCCAACACTTTAATATTCTTCCCGTTTTTGTTCGCCGTGGCAATTCTTTTTTCTGTCCCGTTATACTGGATCGTGGGCTTAAACCCTACTCTCTCTGCTTTCGCTTTTTTCACGCTCGTCGTTTGGCTTATAGTGTTAATGGCCAGCTCGTTGGTGCTTTTTCTGAGCGTTATATCTTCCGATTTCATCTCGGGGAACTCGTTAATCTGCATGGTTCTTGGCTCGTTTTTTCTCTTCTCGGGTTATTTCATACCGCGCGAGGCGATCCCAAAGTACTGGCTCTTCATGTACTATGTTTCGATTTATAGGTACCCTTTGGATTGTCTGGTTATTAACGAATACTGGAGCGAACGGGACGAGTGTTTTTCGAGACGAGCTGTTGGGGATAACGTTTTGGAATGCGTTCTAACGGGATGGGACGTGTTGAGGAACAGGGGATTCGAACAGGACACCAGATGGTTTAACGTCGGGATCATGCTCCTGTTTTTCGTGTTTTATCGGCTGCTTGCTTGGATTGTTCTCGTGAGGAAAGTTTCGAAAACTACGTTGTGATGAGTTGTGAGGATTCTCTCGCTTTGATGAAAATGTAAAGCTACTTTGTACTTAGAAAAAACAGTAATCTTGCTTGCTAATAATTAAAATCAAATGATAATTTTACATTTTTACTTGAAAGAAATAAAATCATTATTATTAGATGAGCCGTTGGTCCAGTTCGGGCAGTCCGGACGGTTCCAAAAATTTTAAATATATATTTCAGATATATATTTTAGATATATTTTAAATAAATTTCGGATAGATTTAAATTCCAGATATATTTCAAATAAACTTCCGTCAGATTTAATTCAGCGTCAATGATCAAACACATGTGATTGCAAAATAAAATGTCACTTTGGTGTTAGCTGGAAAAAATAAATTATTGAAATGAAATGTCACATTTGAATTTTGATTGCAAAAAAAATATCGTCCCATGGACAAATTATTTGGGGCCCCTTTTGTCCAATTTCAAAATTGATGTGTGGAGGTGGCCTGACCATTTTCTGAAGAGAAAAATATTGTATTACTTTTTAATTATTTATTTATAAGTTAAATCCATGGTAATCACATGTTAATTAGTGGTAACAATTACATTTTTGTTCGCATAACAATTAATTTCGTACAAATTATTACTTTAAAGTAACTAAAAAACACACACACATTGGTTTTATATGCAAGAAGTTGATTTTCATCTAATATATGTTCACAGTGAAAATTTTAAATTATCAGAATTGAATCTCATTTAAAGGTTTTGCCAATCAAATGTATATTTAATTTATTCAGTAAGAGCTTATTTAATTAGATTTCTGGAAACAAAAATATTAATTCTGAAAATGCTCAAAAGAACAACATTTTCAATAGTGTATTTTTGTTTACTAAATTTCATATAATTTTATATAAATTTCAATAGTGTATTTTTTTTTTTTTTAAAAAAAAAAGAGACCTTTTTTGACCTATTCTGATCCTCATAATTTATGCTTTTTGTGGGGTTAAAAGTTAAAACTTAATATTGCACATAAGTTTGCAGTGGGCCCCATTCAGGTAATCTACATTCAAAGATGACACGTATCCTACTTTTTGTACGGACCCAAAGCCCTAGAATATTCAGTCAACGGTCAAAATCTGGAATCTCCAGTCAATGTAAACCCCTGTGAAAAACAGCTCAAAGCATTCATTTCATCCAATTTCAAAGCTCTCATTACTCATAAGAAAGGCAATATAAGTAGGATTGTAGAGGATGATTGGATATAAAAGATTTTGTGTTCGATTGGATTTTTTTGTTTGGTTTGATTAGTTTTGAAAAAATTGGTATGCTTATAGTTGTTAGTGAGTATATTAAAATAATATTTAAAATAAAATGATTAAAGTTGATTTGATGTAAAGTAGGAGATAGAAGATTTAAAGTGATAGATAGTTAAAATTATGTGAGTTGATGAATATTAAATTAAGGTGATGTGATAATATTGATGATAGTGGGGTTGGGTTAAAAATGTCTGAATTTTTTTGAGAAATTTTGTATCCACGCTTCTTGTGAATGACTCGAACTTTGAATTCGGGACCTCGACTCATTTTTTAATATTAAAAAATCGAGTCTGAGTCTTAAAGGGTCGAGCTATCCTCTTTATATATAATTTCAGAACCCGCTGAGCCAAAATGATAGCTAGCTTCGTAATTTTATGTGTCAAAATATTATCTTTGTAATAAGGCTCGAATAAAAATTACTACCTCCTATTTTTAATATATGTCGTTTTGAGAAGTTGCACACTAATTAAGAATATTTTTTTGGTCAATAATAACCTTATTTAATGAAGATAGAGATGAATGTTTTGAGAAAAAATGAAAAGTGAATATGAAAAGACGTAATGTATTTATTGGCTAAATGAGGGTAATAATGGAAAAATATGTACAAAAGATTCAAAACGACATTTATTTAGAAAATAGTTGATAAAACTAGAATGACATTTAAAAAAAATGGAAGGGAGTACTATTTTTTTATACCAAATATGTTAGGCTCGGATTTCCATAATTTGTGCCACCAATATGTATAAACATCTTTTTTTTTTTTTTGT